TCGGGAGGCTGAGGCAGGAGGATCGCTTGAGCCCAGGAATTTGAGGTTGCTGTGAGCTAGGATGACACCACGGCACTCTAGCCCGGGCAACACAGTGAGACTCTGTCTCAAAAAAAAAAAGTTAACGTGACTTGGCAAAGAAAAAGCAGATAAATGTTTTTTCCACAACACTGCCAGATGTATTACATTAGAAAGCAGCACTGCAGTCAAGGTTACAAGCTCAAAGCCCAATTGCCATGACATACTGTATGATCCCATTTATATAAAACTTAAGAAAATGCAAACTAATCTATAGTGACAGAGAGCAGGCCAGTGGTGACCTGGGGATGCATGGGATGGGATGGGGAGTGGCGGTGGGGAGGGGCTACTTAGGGGCTCAAGGAAACTTTCAGTAATGAAGAGTACGTTCACTATCTTGATTGTGGTAATGGTTTCACGGTGCAATGTACGTCAAAGCTTATCAAATTGTATACCTTAAATATGTGCAGTTTACTGTATGTCAATTACACTTCAATAAAACATTTATTTTTATTTTGGGGAGAGGGTCTCAATCTGTTGCCCAGGCTGGAATGCAGCAGCGTCATCATAGCTGTTGCAGCGTCCAACTCCTGGGCTCAAAAGATCCTCCTGCCTCAGCCTCCCAAGTAGCTGGGACTACAGGCCAACACTATTACGTCTGGCTAAGTTTTCTATTTTTTGTAGAGATGGGGTCTTGCTATGTTCTCAGGCAGAAAGCTTTAAAAAAAAAAAAAAAAAAAAAGACCAGTAACTCTGTAGGTTACAGAGCGGTCCACTTGGGTGGCCATGGTGGAAAAAACCATACCACACTTCTGTTTAACATGGAGGAATGACCCACTCTTTCCCACTGAGGCTACACAAAAGGGTCAGTTACAGCATGCTGAGTTTTAGGGTGAACTGGAAGAATAAAGAAGCAGACCGAGCCAGTTCCCTGAAGTATGAAGGGTCTGTAGCATTAGGGCAGGTGGCTGCCTTTTAAATTCTGTACCCAGATGTCTATCAGGTAACAATTAAGGCTGCTCACACTTAACTAGTCTACCGTACTATTTCAGAGCTACAAGGCAGTGAATGAAAGAAAAAACAAAGAAACACTGATTAAATTTTTAAAAATTTATTGTCTTTTTTTTGTTGTTGCTGTTGATTTGTTCTTGAGATGGCTACAACACCAGACAGAACAGTGCCCTCATATCTGATGGCTGCGCAGGGCTACACTCCTTTGAAACATCAAGATCTGTTTTGGGCTTCCCTCTTCAGCCTCACCCCTCGTGAAGTCAAACAGTTGCCACGCTTTTTAGTAAAATACGGTTAGCCCTGTAAACATTTTTGCCTCCATATTCCCACACCCCTCCCCCAATGTCTATGGGTGAATAATTCACTAAGGAAAAAAACATTTCAAAAACTAAAACAAATTATACATTTATATCCTACCCCATCCACCCCAATTTTGGCTCTTCTCTCCAAAGCCGACGACAACCCAATGTGGATTGGAAGTGGATTCAGAGACTGAACAGGGTCAGGGTCAGATAAACACGGATTTGACACTCGAGGGCCCTGAGTATCACCGACGTGACCATGATAGAAAGCAGAATAGGCTCCTTGCTTACTCCTCGTCTGAGTAACTCTAACCGTGGGGAGTAACAGTTAGAGAGGGTGGGAGAAGTTACTACTCACTTGCATTAAAAAGAGTGGGGGGAGGGAAATAAGGGGGAGGAAAGAGGACAAAACAACAGAAACCCTAACAGATGATCTTGACCCTTTTCTTCCAATTGCAGCTATTTAATTCATCTGAATCCCCACATTTTCCCTAAGTAAATGTTTTTAGTTTCACAGAAAGTTTGCACTTTTGTTTTTCATGTGCACACACGCGTGTTAGTGTATGTGCATGTGTGCGTGCATGTGTCATTGGCTACCGGGCGAATGTTTCAGTTCTGGTTTCAGTTCAGTTTTCCTTTTTTTTTTCCTTTTTTATTTTCTTACAATTACTTTTCCTTTTAGAAACAAGTTCACCAGGAAACCAGCTCCCCTCCCACCACGCTGGACAGGCCACAGCCATAGTTTTAAAACCGCGCTGATTTTCCCTCACACCCCAAAACAGGAACTCCTCAGGATGGCCTCGGAAGGCTGGAGTCTCCCTGTCTGGCGGGACACCCTGGTGGCGGTGAAGGCCCCTCTGCCACAACGGAGGTTTCTGATTGTGGGACACAGTCTGGTTTTTGTTTCCTTCCTGTCTTCTAATTAAAAAAGACATTCCTGACAAAAGAGATAAGACAGTCAATAACTGTGCTCCAGAAGATAGCAAGCACTTTATAAAATCAACCTCAAGGCAGAGGTTTCTATACTTCCTCAGGCACCTCATTCTGGACTCGGCTGTAAGAATTTAGTTTAAAAAAAAAAAAGTTGGATTTCCTAACTTGTGGGTTCAAGGGAGCTACTACTTTAATGAGATACCATCTGCAGTGTGTTTCCAACACTGAGTGTACTGTAGAGACAAGGGACAGATGACATGTGGGGAAAGAGTGAGCCAGCAGGTCCAAGCCTCTCATTCCAAACCAACCAGAAAAGTTCTGCTCCAGTCTGTTAAATACTGGGGCTTCATGTAAGATTTTAATTTGAAAGAAGGCTTTGCCTACTAACAAAAGTTTAAAAACCACTGATATCACCGATACAGACTCTTATTGAAAGAGTATTACATAATAAAGGTACTAAGTAGAGTGGTTAAAGTGAGGACTCTGGTACCAGATGTCTACACTTCAATTCTGGCTCCAATTATTGTGACATCAGGCAAATTGTTAAATATCTTTGAATCTCAATTTCCTCATTTGTAAAATGGAAATAATAGTAACTAACCCAGAGAACTATATGAGGGTATCTTAGTTAATACATATAAAAGGACTTGGAAACCGGCACCCAAATTCCACTACTCGGCCCTTTCTTTCCTCAGCTAAGCTTCTCATTTTGCTTCAGAATCAGGAGACAGGAAGCACATGGAGAAAGCTGATGGTCCAGAGCTAGCCAAAAATGCTACTCCTTTCCTATACAGGTTGAGCACCCCTAATCCAAATATCCAAAATCCAAAACTTTTGAGTGCTGACATGACACCCAAAGGAAATGCTCATTGAAGGATTTTGGATTTTCAGACTAGGGATGCTCAGCTGATATGCATTCTGCAAATATTCCAAAATCTGAAATCCAAAACACTTCTGGTCCCAAGCATTTCAGATAAGGGATATTAAACCTGTACCTCCCGCACTGGTAAAACCTGGCATTTCAGCATTCAAACCATAAAAGTGATAATAAGCTCTTTGCTCATTATATCTGGAAGGTTAGTTTTAGGAGATTGGTGCCATGCATCACAGTCAAATTTAGGTCAGCACTGTTTTCAGTGAAGTAGCCAGGTTAAAAACGTTTGTTACCATGTACACTTACCATCCTAGAAGTGTCTCCTCTAAGCGGAAGAGGGAAGGAATTTTTTTGGTGCATTCCGCAATAGTTACTTTCTTATGGAGGTGAAAATGGGCATACAAAAGATAATAATAATTATCTGGCTGAACTGGCCCCCAAAATATCAGGGCCCTGTGTAACCTAGCTGTTGGGCAGTTAGATTTTTAGTTCTTCCATTGACTCTAGCTACAGACCTAGTCCCATCATGGGCACTATAACCTATCCCCATCCCCAAGCATCCCTGATAGCTGGAGGAAAAAGCTAGGAACTACACACCACTCACCTGGGTGACAGGCACAGTGCAGGAGTGTGAGCTATCGAAACAATCTGGTGAAGTCTCGCAAGGCCCAGCAAACTTGCTTACATTCCTCAGCACTAGAAAAGAAAAGGTAGGTTGTTCCTTGACTGAGGAGAAAGATACAATATGCTAAAAAACAACTGCAACACTGCTGTACTGTCTCGACTCTGCTAGGAGCTCTCTCTATCATCTCTTGATCTTGCTTCAGATCTTTCTGTAACTCAGGGTAAAAATTAACTATTACATCTGAGAACAATTATAACCACAGTGGTCCTTTAAGAGTGGACTCTGGACAAACTGCCGGGGTTTGAATCTTGGCTCCACTGTGTCCCTGGCCAAGTTACCAACCTTTGCCTCAGTTTCCTCATCTATTATTTACCTTGTAATGTTGTTGTGAGGATTAAATTTGTCCATGTGGAAAATGTCTGTGATAACAGAGTGTACAAAAGAGTATTCAATAAACGCAGGCTGCTACAACAATGCTTGGCTGAAACCCCTGACATAAATACAAAGAAGCCAGAATCCTTAAGGAAAAAAGCAACCTAAGGCTCTAATAATTTTAACTTTACGAGCTGAGCTAACTTAGGAACTCTGGTTTCCTCATTCTCTTCCAAAAGCAAATTTTGTTTACAAGGCCCAGTCCAGTAACTAAGTCTATTAGTCATCGATTTTCTAGTTGAACAGGGCTGCCTCCTGAGAGAGGAGGAAGGGATAAGGCACGTAGAAAGGGAGGAGGAGGAAGCAGGACCTTGTCTTCAAATGCTGAGATAACTACGTGGTATGAATAGCCCAATATTCATCTGAACCCGTTTTTTCAAAAGGCCCCCTCTTTGTTCAAAACTGTTACCAAGAAACCAGTTCATGTCAACTTCATTCTTTTGTATCTGTCTTCATAACAGATTTGCTAAATGAAAACGAGGCTAAGCTAAAGCAGTGGAAAAGGAAGCACTTCTTAATATGCTCATCCTTGTAGCCCTCTCCCTGGGTCAGAAAACTCAGGGACCAGGGCCTAAAGCCTAGGATCAAAATAGAAGAAAACTTGCTTTCCACCTTGTAGTGGTTAAATACCAGGGGAAGGAAGTGCTACAAGTGATCCATCAGAAACAGATCTGAGCTATCCCCCTTAGATGCCTACATTCCGATTTCCCCACCTATTCATTATAAGGTCTGAAACATCATGAAGAACTTTGATTTAGACCCCATGACTTCATCAAACAGAACATTCTAGAAACTGTCTTCTAGTCTTTCTCCATCCTAAAAATGTAATGAAAACGAGAAAAATTTTCTGGTTTTATCGGAGTTGACTTAGAAAAGTGCTAGAGGCTCAAGATTCTTTTGCTATCCTAATGTTGGTACAACTTGTAGATTTTCACCTTTCTTCAACCAGAGACCTTTCATCTTGAAAATAAATGGTAACTCCATCTTTATCCTCTTTTATAGCAAAGAAGAAGATGTATTGAAACCAAAATGTAAGTACAAAATAGGGTACCAAAACAGGGTAAAATGAGGGCTGGGCCACAGTGTCTAGAATCAGCTCAGCTTCTGCTATCTACCCCATTAGCAACTGCTCTGGTGTCAAGAGTGTCAGCCAAATGTTTAACTTAAGTGTCCTTTGTGGGTAAGACCGAAGAAATGGATCAAAAAGCTCCTGGATGCTAGAAGTCACATTCTGCATAATGACATTTTGGTCAACAATGGACTGCATATATGCTAGCGGTCCCGTAAGATTAATGAAGCTGAAAAATTCCTATGGCCTAGTGATGTCGTAACCATTGTAACATCATAGTGTAATGTATTATTCATGTGTCTGTGGTGATGCTGGTGTAAACAAACCTACTGGGCTGCCAGCTGCATAATAATAAACGACACGTTACTTACTGGTTTGTGTAATTATTATACTTTACTTTTTATCATTAGAGTGTACTCCTTCTACTCATTAAAAAAATAAGTTAATGTAAAACAGCCTCAGACAGATCCTTCAGGAGGTATTCCAGAAGAAGTCCTTGTTATCACAGGCGATGACAGTTCCATGCATGTTATTGCCCCTGAAGACCTTTCAGTGGGACAAGATATGGAGGTAGGAGACATTGATATTGATGATCCTGACCCTGTGTAGGCCTAGGCTAATGTGTGTGTTTGTGTCTTACCTTTGAACAAAAAAGTTTAAAAACAAACAAAACAAAAAAGAAAATTGTAAGAATAGAAAAAACTTATAGAACAAGAATATAAAGATAGAAAATTTTTTTATAAACTGCACAATTTATTTATGTTTTAAACTAGGTGTTAATGTAGAAGAATTCAAAATTTAAAGAAATTTTTTTTTTATAAATTTAGTGTAGCCTAAGTGTACAGTGTTTAAAAAGTGCACAGTGGTATACAGCAATGTCCTAGGCCTTCACATTCACTCACCACTCACTGACTCACCCAAAGCAACTTCCAGTCCTGCAAGCTCCATTCATGGTAAGTGCCCTCTATCAGTGTACCACTTTTTATCTTTTATATCATAGCTTTACTATACCTTTTCTATGTTTAGATGCACAAACTTACCACTGTGTTACAATTGCCTACAGTATTTAGTACAGTAACTTGCTATACAGGTTTGTAGTCTAGGAGCAGTGGGTCATATGATATAGCCTAGGTGTGCAGCAGGCTAGCCTATCTAGGTTTGTGTAAGTATACTCTATGATGTTCACACAACGACAAAACCACCTAACACATTTCTCAGAACATATCCCTGTTGTAAAGTGATCCATGACTATATTTTCTGTTTTCTGCCTCACTCCTTCTGACATTTATTATTTCCTAGTTTTTCATTTTATTTATTAATTTATCCCATTATCCTAGGGGAATGCTAAGAAATGCCCCCTTTTGATCTGACATCCTGGTAGGTATAATCAAACTCTAACTGATGACTTGACCAGGGAGACAACCCCACATGGCCTCTTATTCCATTGTCAGTGCTTCCCATGTTCAACATCTTTTGGCTTTGAAGAGCCTCATGCAAGTGGTAAGTAGTTACAGAATAAACACCAAGAAAAAAGATAAATATGTTTAAACACCATAGTAGAGAAATGAGAAACGATGGCAAGGTTTCTTGTAGTCCCAATTTGTCTTAGTTAACAATGGGCTCGTTTGGTGTTTGGAAAGCAAGAACGGTATTTTAGAATGAAATGTCCCAGCTTTCTTCAAAGCTGACCAACTAAAAAAGCTAGAGAACTAATTACCACTACCATTTGAAAAGCAGGCTTGGACTTGCCGAAATGAAACTGAACCAGTTCACCCTCCTTGCTAGAATGGCAAATAAAGCAGCATGTTGAGGCAGGAGTTATAGGACCTTAAAACTATAAGGGAGACTGAGTCATGCATGGGACAGAAGGTCCGAGGGCAATAGGCGTACTAGAGAAAGAGAATTACTAAGAGAAGGTGAGCAATCTCACACCCTTTCTCTAGCACCTCAACATCTCTTACTTCTGTTCATTTCCCACCATTATGTCACAGCCTGCTTATAGGAGGAGCAGCAAAACTTGTTTAGCAATGAAAGATCAAGTAGGTCAGGTTGGTAGTGTGCCTTATTTTCCCATATCACAGGGCAAAAATCACAAATATTTTTGCTCATGACATCACTTAGGTGCCTTTTCCTTGCCTCAAGATTTTCCTTAAATCAGGAAATGATGTCCATGACCTCACTTCAGACTTACTCTGTCATACTATCTGTCATATATATTAGTCCTGCCCAGGGAACGTAGGCTCAGTGGAGACTTATTCCAGAATGTGTGGGTGGCTGCCATAGAGTAGGCAGGAGACATGCCCCAGCTAGTTTTTCAAGTACATAATGACATTCTAGCAGTTTCTTTTCCAAGGGGAAAGGAGTTAACATCCACTGATCACCTACTATATGAAAGATCTTCTTTAGATTTCCATTTGGTATCTCATAATAACCCTGTGAGGTTGGTAGTACTAACCTTATTTTACAGATGAATAAACTGAAGTTCAAAGTAATAGGGTATGTGGCAAGATTCAAACCAACACACTTTAAACCCAGTGTTTTGTTTGTTTGTTTGTGCCAGGGTCTCACTCTGTTGCCCAGGCTAGAGCACAGTGGTGTCATCACAGATTACCGCAACCTCACACTCCTGGGCCCAAGAAATCCTCTTGCCTCAGTCTCCTAAGTAGCTGGGCCTAGAGGCACGTACCACCACACCCGGCTAATTTTTATATTTTTTTGTAGAGACAGGGTCTTGCTCTTGCCCAGGCTGGTCTTGAACTCCTGACCTTAAGCGATCCTCCACCTCAGCCTCCCAAAGTACTAGGATTATAGGTGTGAGCCACTGCGCCCATCCTAAACACAGTCTCTTTTGAGGGCAAATGCTATTTGCCCTAAGGAAATTACAGCCCCACCTGATCCTGCCCTTATACTGATGGAATAAAGCAAAACAGAAGCAGAGAGAAGCAACTATTACTCTTCTTTCCCCTGAGACAGCTTGTAGGTAGAATACCACTTCTACTGGGAAGGCTCATAATAAAAAGAAAGCAATTTTGTAAGGTCATCCCAGTCACATATGCCGACCCAGTGGAGGGGAAATCCCCATATCTGGCAAAATGTGTCACAAAGGTGGTCACATGCTATTTTTCGGTCATGCATGTCACTTGATCTATTGCTAAAAGTAAGTGACTTCTGGGGCATGAAGCTGAGCCACTTAGTAAGCTACAAAATGATAGTACTCCATGGTTTGGGATTTTAACATTAATAAAATTGCAGGAGATATTCCAGGAGGCAAGAAAGTAAACCACTTTGGAAAGTGATGTTAAATCAATCCTGAGAAAAGACAATTAGCTCCTGCACCATTGCCCAGAATTTATTTTCTCTCCCTTCTCAAAACTAGGTCTGATTTTACTTGTAAAAATATAACATATGCTCATGAAGTAAATGCAAATGGTAAAGAAAGTTAGGAAATGAAAGTAAAAGTGTCCCTTCTCTCCTGGTCCAACTTATATTCCTTTCCAGAAATTTACTATGCATAAAGTAGCTTACATATATATAAAATGTATAATAAAATAGCTTTTAAAAGTACCAGTT